ATGCTGGTCTCTGATTGGCTTGAGCCAGGAACCCTATAGTCCCTCTACTGATATTATCAAGCTTCCTGAAACAAATAATGTATTGATATTTCATGTCCATGTAGCCCCTCTACTGATATCATCAAGCTTCCTGAAACAAATAATGTATCAATATTTCATGTCCAGTACTATCTATGATTTGATTAACTTACTTTTGTTCATGAGTCTTTTAATTGTTATCTTCTAATTTTGTTGCAATAAGTTGGATATATTCTCGTAACATTTCATGAAATAGCAATTTTGTGAATGTAATCAAGGAATAATACTTCGATATTGTCAAGAATGGATAAAAACTATAATTTTATTGAGAATATTTGAAATTCTCATTTCATTCAAGAACAGTACAATAACCTAGTCTAGATCATATTCTTAGAATTATTTAGCTTACAGGATATCAGTAGAGAATTACGATATTCAAAGGAAATTATAGTTCGGATTTCAATTTTATTATTATTCAAGTAAAGTCGCTGACGGGCAGAAACTGCTGGTTTTGGATTTTTCCTAATCGAGGTGAATACACTAGTTTTTATGCTGAATCAATTACCACTACCAAAACCAAGATGAAAAGGTATTAGAGAAAAAACCGGCAGTTGTGGTTCGGACAGTGGACCGTAATGTCTTTTCAAATCTTCTAATAGAAGTAAATCTCAAACTTATTTGCATCATGTCTAAACCTCGTGAGTGGCAGTTCCGATCCTCCAACGAAAAGCGAGCCCTTCTGTAAGTACCTTTTTTGAGTATTACTAGTTTTAGTTTTCCTGTTTTGTTTCGATTTGAGTTGGATGTATCTTGCTGGATAATTAATAATGGTCAATTTATTTCATACCCTAATTGTTTTTACTCAAAATGAATAAACTTGTGAAGTGGAGGTAAATTATTTAGTTATCATTTTCAAAAAAACCTCTTGCAAGCGAGTAAGTTCGAGTTGCGATAGTGGGCGTTAGAGCCACTCGTGACACTATGATCATGAATATAATGTTTTTTGAACAATTAGGCAATCCAACTGCGAGGTTAGGATCAATCCAACTGGGAGGTTAAAATCAATTCATTGATTTTTTGGGATTTTCTCTCCTCGTTTCTAGAAAATAGAAATATGAATATCATTTCAATATACGTGTAGTAAGGACGAATCAGATGATTTGCCCCAAAATGTCACTGCGTTTAAATAATTTTCCTATCAGAGAGCCTAAAAGAAAAATTCACTAGCAGATAGACTACGATATTTTTATGCGGAGCAGTACATATTATTATATAGTTTAAGGTGTACTTTAGACCAGTAAATACTGAAGAGTGAACAGGAATCATAGAGACGGATTATTTTCGAAAATAATACAGAAATGATGCAAAATATTCATTTCAGTTTTTGTGCCAGTGCAATGGACCAATCCTTTATCAATTTGTTATCATCTTCAGTAGGCTTTATCTATTTATCATATCATATATTTTATATTGGTTTCATCCATGAATTATGTTCAAAATAATGATAACATGCAACAACCTGTCTATTGAACGGATGTCCATCATGGATTCCGAATGAATGTCTTTCCACATTTCTGTCTGTTTGTCCAAACTTTTTTGAGGTTCTATATGGCAGTAGGTAAAGTATAGTACGAAATGCGTGTTGTAAAGCCATTACGCACTCATGGAATTACGCACTAGCTGCTTCGCGGATGCGTGTGTAACTCTTCCATTCATGCGTAATATGCTTCTTAACAGGTTAAGTGCCGCAATGTTAAAAAATTCAACGTCCCCATTGGCCAGAATCTTTTTTTCATCTTTAACTCTTCATCAATGTTTTTCATCTCCATGTGCGATTTTCAATACCAAAAATGTTTTTCTTAACGTGAGTCCAGGTTGGAGTTTCACGGCCACCAGCAAAACTTTCATCACGGGATGCTATTTGGGTCCAGCTTGGGCTCTCAGGAGCACAGCCAAGTACGGTTTTTAGACCATCTGGCCGAGCAGAAAACGCTCCCGTGTATTTCAAATGGATGCGAGAAGGCAATGTGGAGCTACACAATATTTTATGACTGACGAACATGTGAGTCCAGGTCGGCTTCACGCGGCCTATATGACATTTTTTTGTGTGATTCCGCGTTGGCCTCATGTGACACTTAACCTGTTAACAACACATATGGGTAATATACTATTATTGATAGTACGACCTACTAATAAGTCATCCGCACTCAACGTTCAAAAAAAAATGAAATGGCTCAGTTGGTTAGGTCCCTCGCAGGTTCGATATCGGCGACCGGTCACATATTTTCTTCATTTTAGGTTTGATGGCATACACGCTGTGATGTACTGGTTCTGAATTATGTCTTATTTATCAAGAATTGCAGAAGGCAGGACGAATTGAAGGGGTGTGGGTTTCAAATGGTGAAATCACTACTGACGAATGTGATTTTATATGTATAATCTGAAGAACACAGTCTATATAACATCTATAGATAACTAAACTACCCCAAAGTCACAAAATAATGTCCAGTGAATACTGAGTCAACACCACGTAAACACGAAGTATAACTGATGATATCAGTAATCTATGATATAGTGTACTTGGAGTATCCACTTACGACTCACTAACAGCTCTGGTGGTAAATATGTATAATCGCCACATCAAACAGCAATACTCCATTCACTTGCGGAATTCTATACTCAGGAACATTCAAAGGTAATTTTTTACTTAGAGGGCATTGTCGAATTTTTTCAAAATTTTTGCCAGTACTTACGTATTTTGGGGTGTAGAATACGAATCTGAAAACCAAAAAGCTGGGAAACCAATACTTTTCGAGATATTTGCAAAATAAGTCATTTTGTTCATCATTTTTCAGCGTCTTTTAGCAACATTCCTCAAGCGGTATAATTCTCTATCTTCTTTCTTTCGTTGTTGATTGATGAATTATGTATTTCTCAATTCATTTTATTTGGGTATTTTAACAATGAAAGCATTTCATTTGCTATTTACCTTGTTAATTTTATGTATGTGTTTTTTTATGATTAAAAGATGCATCAAACGTGAACGTGACACTTGACAGACATGATAAATTGACAGACAATAACAAGCAATGTTGCCAGATCTTGTTTTTTCCCGTAATAGGAATAGAAAACAATATAGGGAGGGTATTCCAACCATATTCTTTCCAATGTGTGTTTGAAAAATGAGATCTACTTAACCCGAACAAACTAACCTAACTATAGAGCTCGGATTACGATAGACGTTGCGGTTACGATAGAACCGCGGTTACTATAGAGCTCGGATAACGTAACCGCAGCGTCTATCGGAACCGCAGCGTTTATCGCAACCGCAGCGTTTATCGTAACCGCAGCGTCTATCGTAACCGCAACGTCTATCGTAATCCGAGCTCTATAGTTAGGTTAGTTTGTTCGGGTTAAGTAGATCTCATTTTTCAAACACACATTGGAAAGAATATGGTTGGAATACCCTCCCTATATTGTTTTCTATTCCATTCAATGAAAGAATTTTCAATTTTTTTAATCACACTAAAACTATGTATAGAAATTAAATTTAAATTAATTTAACTTAATTTATTTCATGTTTATTTCTGAGAATCGTCTAGAAAGAAAATAAGCGTTAAACGGACGAGCTATGGCAACATTGCCATCATCTTTCTTTGTTGTTTGTTGATCAAACAATTGACATTGATTTTTTTGGTGCTGTTAGCTGTCATAGTTGTTATTTTTTTGTGAATAGGTGCTAGGAAAATAACTAACAGTATTAAGTTTTTGCAATATCCATTAATTTTTCAAAGAAAATACCCTAAATTTGGTAATTTATTTCCCATTAACATATGCACGGAGTGCGTATACACCAGACATGCCAGTACCTATTGCCAGTGATGAGCCGCCAAACAACAGCAAAACAGTGATGATAAAGATTTTGTTTTGCAAATATCTCGAAAAGTATTGGTTTCCCAGCTTTTTGGTTTTCAGATTCGTATTCTACACCCCAAAATACGTAAGTACTGGCAAAAATTTTGAAAAAATTCGACAATGCCCTCTAAGTAAAAAATTACCCATTCAAATACCATCGCAGACGCTGAATATTATCTGAATTGGCGAAACGTAACCAATTCAGCGATATTAATCACAGCGACAATCTCTGCCGTCATCTCGAAAGATCTCTTGACAGTTCTCCCCTTTGACACCTCCCGCAATCGTGATGAAAGTTCAAAATCAATCAAAATCACTGTTAACAGGGTCCGCTCACTACAACGCGTCGGTCCGGCTGTCGGTCACTGTGACCTATGGACGTCGGATCGACGTCGTTTGCCTCTCTTTTGCCGCGTCGGCAATTTCTGGCAAGCAGGTTTTGTGCCGATCAGGACTGTTGAAAAAATTTTAATATGAAGTATTTTATGTTAGCTTGAGAAAATAAATTGGGACTTAAAAGGGATATTTCATTCACATTACCGTCATGGTTAAAGCTGATAATCCCATTTCATTGTGTTCAACCGTGACGTAATTTCTGTTTGGAAAGACCTCCCCTTCCTGCCCTTGAGTTTACCAAATCCACAGTTGGGATAGGTGGTTAGGTGAAAATGGAGGATATGATGGAAAAATTCGAATTGAAAATGAATGGAGTGGATGTCGAAGTGAGAGGTACACGGGTAAACTGTGGAAGTGGTTAAAGTGAAAGAAATAGGAATTCAAAAATAGTTAATGTTGACGTCATTATGACGTAGTTGCCACCCACCACCAGCTGAGCGAAATTAATAAATAAAAAATCACGGTAGATCGAGAACGGAAATAAGGTATGCCATCGAATATTTTAGCAACCAGTTGTGTCAGCCAGGAAAAATAAATATTTCGCCGCCAATGGTAGTTCGGGTACCTTCGGAAATTTTAACAGCCAGCTTAAGCAGCGAGTTCACATCGGTGGTTCTAGATATATTATTTAAGGTTAGGTTTTGTGTCAGATTTGTAGTGTATGTTTTATAGTTCGTTTATTCAGTTTATTGCTCGTTTATTGTTGTTCAGACTGAAAAAAGTTGATATTTCGAACTCTTTTTACAAAATATATTCACAAATATTAGTTCGTTCAATTTTCATTGTGAATTTCCTGTTTCACTCCTGGTTCCAGGTAAGTAGATATGAACATATTTATTATCTTTTCTGGCTGAAATTATCTTGGAAAAATCATGCAGAATAATACAGGGCGTCTGCTGACTAATAATATGTATATTTTGTACTTAAAATGTACTCAGAATGATTTGTTCCAAAATGATTAAGCTTTTTGATATTTTTGAGTGTAGCTACATTCAAAAAACAACAAATGCAGCTTTCTAGTCTATACTCAACAACTCTGTGTCCATCAAGATATCCATCCATCCCTTTTGAAAATCCTGGGAATTCAAATTAAAATTCCATATCTTAGGATTCTTAGGCCTGAAGTTTTCTACATTCAAAATAATAGTTATTTACTTATATAATAATATATCGATTCTTTCACACTGGTTGACCAACCAATGACGAAACTCGAATCTGTACTGTCGCTGGTTTTTGTGAACGGCATTGTTTGCCCCGAAATAATTAACTTGTATTTTCTCTTGACGTATACAGAAATGTCACGTGGCTCCAAGCCTACTCTCAACTCTGGACATAAAAACAAAAATTGGAAATCAGTTCTCCTTATAAGATGAAACTGTGACTGTGTTTCATCATTGGAAAGGAAATTTTACGCTGATTTCAAATCTGTAAAAATCCAATATGGCGTCCATAAGAAAAACCGAAGTTGTAGGTGATATCCACGTGATATCTCAGAAATTTGACATTTTGATGGAAAACTGACAAAACCATTGAAAAGAACACCAAAAAGATCTATGAGAATGTTGAAATGATTTTTTCATAAAATCAATAGTTTCCGAGATATTCGAGAAAAACAAAAATACGAGATTTCATTTTTTCTTAAATAACTCAAGAATGACTGAAGCTAGCCTGGATTTCTTGATAGATTCTGATTCAACATTAAATTTGCTACAACTTTGCTAATTTAATCGTTTGTCTATTTCTCATAGTTACTGAGATACCAATGGTGAGGATCGAATTTGGGACACACTGTATGTTTAGTGTGTGGCGAAAATGAGAAAAATTCAGAAATTTTGTTGAAATATAGTCTCTGTGCTGTGGCAATGGGCGAGCGGACTGATAATGAATTATTGGCATTCAATTACTCCACTGTGTCCTTACGGACCCAAATTTTGAAACACCTCCCACGCTCTTTGTATGTAAATTGTAAATAATTAGTCTATGCGTTATTCGAAATAAAGTTGGATTTCAAAGCTCATTTCAAACGTACCGTCATGGCCGCCTATTGGCGATACGTTGAACAAATGGTGACGTTATCTTTTATTTATGCTGTTTCGTTCTTGGTCAAATAATCTTTCATTCCCACTCATGGAGCAAGGTTGTCAAGTCACCAATTATAATCAAGTTATCAAAAAGATAGAGCCAACACTATATGAAACATAATAGGAGGAAGTCATGATAGTATAGTTCATTCTCGATTTTCTAGAGCAACCAGCATGCCCAAATACTTCTTATTCTCCAATACAAAATATCATGTGAATGTTGAAGACTCGGTAACAATGTGCTGAATGCTGAGAACTGAAGCACCACCCACAACTCGTGTGCCGTGTTGTCACATTCATCGGTTCAAATGTCCTCTAGTGTCAATAGAGCAGTTCAGCTACCGTTGAGAGAGAAAAAAAATGTCTTCCCATCTGTCCTTGTCTTCAGTGTTCCAACATGAAATAATGAAAATCTTATGTTGCCAACACTGGAAATGAGAAGAAATAGAGAAGAAGACCGTTCTAACCTTCTTTTATATCGAGGTTGATATAATATTCTTCTCCATTTTTTCCCATTTCCAATGATGCCAACATAATATTTTCATTATTTTATGTTGGAACACTGAAGACAAGGACAGATGGGGAAGAGATTTTTTTCTCTCTCAACGGTAGCTGAATTGCTCTATTATAATAATTATTATTTACAAAAATAAGCAATAAGCCACAACACATGAGGAAACATTTCGAAACAATTGATTTTTTATTGACTATTGCACTCATGATCTCGAGAACCAACCAGAATCGTCCATTTTCACGGTTTCTTCTGTATTCTAGCGATATTTTTTGTTTATTAAATATTATCGGACTTGCTCTACCAATACAGAAGCCCACACGTGACCAACAAACCTCGTTTATCAGCGATAAAATTTTGACATCGTTTCTGGTCAAGATTGCTTTTATTCAAATCTGAGACAATAACCTAAGTTCCTACTTCATTTTATTTGCTTATAATTTGCGTTAGTGAGACATTTTGTGCGAAAGGCGAGACAATTTTATTCTGGCTGGACGTTTCATGTGTAATTTAAAAAGTTTGCATATTTGTTGACGGTCTGGCACAACAATACTAAAGTAGTTAGTTAGTAAGTAAGTTGAGGTAATCTTCTTCAATTACTCAAGTTATTGTAACTGTTACAATGGGCTTATATCACAAAAAATTATTATTTCATAATTCGATAGAACACCCAAACTAGCTCACCACTGCAAAACGTTTCTTGCTGTGAGCTTCCTACGTTTTATAAAAATTATTGAAATCCCCGATTTTTCGGACCTCTGGAAACGAGGCGATGATGTGATGTCAAAACCCTAATACTGAAACAAGACTATTCCAGACAGAGATGAAAGATACATGATTCGGACAGAGTGAATTAGCGCGAGATCACAGTTGAAAGAATTAATATATCAGTTGCCTCAGTCTCCGTCGGGCATTTGGTATTTTCTTTTAACCATGGCGAGATGAGGTTTCTACGTCATAAGAGGGTTCGTTTTCAGAAGGTACTATTATTTATGTCCAAAAATAAAATATTTCGGGCTAATTTGTACGTCATAGTTCTATCATTTATTTGTATTGTGGAAATATTGCGTTGCTACGGTATAATCAAATTTGTTCATTGATCATTCATATTTTTTTTACAATAGGAACATTTACAGGCTCTCCAAGTTTGAATTTTTTTCGGAATACACTTATATTTGCATAAACATCGCCACAATCAAATATATCTTGGATTGATTCGAACTTTTGATAAATTCCCTCCCAAAAGCCGCGTAGTAGAGTTGTTTGTATTATTCTGTTTACCTCCTTCAAGTTAAATGGAGATTCGGATTGTGGGAATAACGACAATAAAAATGGCAAAAATTTCAAAAAATTGTCCTAAATTTCGCAATCGGCATCTTCATTGTTTGTATTGTAGAAGTTGTTTCAAACACAGGCGTCGCTTTTGGCATGTTTGTTTGTTTCAAATATTATTTAAATCATAAGTAACAAGATTACGAAATATTTCAAATTTGGACGATGCACATATCGCAAAAATACCTGAATGATCTATGTAGAACCTCGAATGTCATTTGGCAAGCAATATTCCCACACTCAAATCAAATAAAGGAACCATCATGACGTACAAATTACCCCGAAATAGTAGTAAAAATAAGGAAATTGCTCATAACATAAAAACGCCGCAACCGATTCTGATTTTTTCTTCAGCGATGAAAAGGCGAATGATGTCGAAATAAATCTGTGATGAAAAATACAGGGTGTTCCATTTGAAAAATTCTCATGATCGTCGTCTGAATCTTACAATATTCAGAATGTAAATTTTAGCACCCTGTAAAGGATTATCTCGCAAGATTACTGGATTGGTATACGTGAGACCTTGCTACTACTGTATGCCAAAAATATTTTCGAAATTTCAATAACTAAATATACCATACCCAATTGAACATGACCCTTCAATAGTAGTAAAAATGGGTTTATCGATTATAACTTGGCAACGTCGAAACCGAATTCAATTCTTTTTACAGCGATGTAGAGCTGAATCTTAGCGAAATGAATTTCGAATGAACAATACTGGGTGTTCCATTTAAACAAAACTCGTCTTCGAGTTGCCCCGCTTTTATAAAACACCCAGTATTGTTGGAAATATTTTCGAAATGAGCAACTTCAGTAACTGGAACAGTTTTTCCTCCAAAGTTTCTCTTTTGTGATAATTGATTTCGAGATATCGAAGAATAACGCACTAAATGGACATACTCAGAAGATTTTGTTTTCAAATTCTTATCGTGTGTGTTCAATAGATGTAATTCAATGTTCGTCGTGGCACCTAGCCAGGAAAGTAGTTGGTTTCGGTTGAATAAACCGAAAAAGAATTGATATTTTCATCACATAGAGAATGCGAATTCTCAATGTATTTATTTATAGTATATTTATCCATTTTTTATGTTCATAATGATATCTGAGAATGTTCCTTTTTAATATGTATACCTACATAAGTTACGAAACGAGTGTCGAGTGAGTGAAAATAGTTTTGGTGTTTGTGAAATAGTGCTTGAGTGAATAGTTCAGTAAAGATTCCAATCTGATATGGTATGGTGCTATATAATAAACTGGGCGTCAATTGAAACGTTAATAGTGAAATTTGGCATCAAGTTTGACTTCTCGTAATTTCTGAAATATTGAACGAATTTTGAATTGCCGCCCAGATTCTGAATGCCTTTTTCATCGTCTTTCGAACCATTCCTTACAGCTCCTTCTGAGTTGATCAGGACCCGTGATACAGGGTGAAACAAAGTTTCGTGCATTTTGAAAAAAAATTCTCCGCGCCCCCATTTTGTCGGAAGACCACGATGCTCATATTTTATTCAGGCATTTCATAAATAGCAACCATACCTCGGGACGTTTTCGAGTTTTTGCCAAAAACTACTGTGGTTTCCGAAAAAAAATTTTTTTTTGAATTTTTCTTAAATGGACTGATTACCAGTATCCTCAAAACGATGAATCAGTTTATTTATTGTCATGACTGACTTATAAAAAATTGTACTTAAATGAGTTTGGGTATATCCTAATCGTCGTAGCCTGAAATAATAATTATCTGTACTGAATTATAGTTTATATCACTATAGTGATCTTACCTAATGATTTTCCATTTCGACCCGATTTGAACGAGGCATCTTTAAATTTTTTAGGACCCGAATTACACTGACGTTTTCATGAAAATTGGCAATTGATATAACCACTATGCAT